CATCTTTGACTGAGTACTCTGCAATTTACTTACAGTCCTGACATGCTGGAGTGAAATATGACTTATGTGTAACGGCAGGGCCAACAGTGCCAATTCCTCTTCACAGATAACATGGCACTGACACGCTCAGCACAAACACCTAACGGGCGTTTGCCTTTCTAATACCATAAAATCGTTTTTCTCGGAACACTGCTATTGCTGTTTTAATGTTAAAAATCAGCCCAGATTTACACCTTGATTTCATAATTGAGCCTTCCAATGAAACAAAATACAAAATGCCTACAGAGCTCTCATGACTTTTAAGAGGTTTGCTTAATGTTGAAGTCCTCTGAAACCCTAATATGCTCTGGACTTCCTCACTGCTTCTAGCAGCTGTTGTCATGTGACACCCGAGCTGCGCTTGTGAAGAAGATTTAGTCAGGTGGGACATCTCACTTTTCAGGTATGTGCTTTAGTTACTTTGCATAAATTAGCATTCTTAATACAAAGCTATAGTATTCAGAACTTTGTTCTCCTGTTGTCCCCCCAGCTTTACAAGGTCTGAAATTTCCTTGAACTGTTTTGTGGACAAAGCAACATGAGCGTGGAATCTTCCAAGAACAAAATGTTTCATGTAAGCTGGTTCTTCAACCAATTAAACCCCCAAATGCACGCTAATATTTGATATTAAATTTCTAAGTAATCATCCAATTAATTCATTATAAGACTTAAAACATATACACTCAGGTATTTTTCCATCAAAAGAGAGTGCTGGTATTAATAGACAGCTGGTCCCTCTATGAGGCCATAGGAGCAGCATAAATTTATGATCCCAATAAAACTTTCCTGTTCTCTCCAGCACCTCTCTTTTCTTCAGTACCTAGGAGAAGAGATCCAGGCCTGGTGGCTAATCTACATATGTTTACACCCAGGGGTAGAAGGCAGCTTTCACAAATTCCAGGGTTAGAAGGCCTTACTAGGGCATGCTGAGCAGGCAGCTCTTCCCCTGTACTGACACAGGTAAAAATTCTCTGTGGGGCTGCAGAACTAAGAAAGGACACAGTTATCTAAGACTTTTAAGAAACATCCTCAAGAAGGTGACCCAGCACCAAGTACCTGGCATTCAGATCAGTATTTCAGCTGTGAGAGTAGAATTCCCCATGGTTTGCTGTACCTGTTTCCGAAGTGTTGTCATCCATCAGCTTTTCCTGAGCCAGGTGAAGCGTGTCCAGCATCTCTTCAAATATGTCATCCAAAAGCCCCGCCTGTTTGCACTTCCTAAGAAAGTCTATTCGTACTGTTAAAACAGAACGAAAAGCGATCCTGAGCACAGCTGCATGCATGGTCCTTTTCATATCAACTGTAGCAGCTCTCACTTGTCCTCTCCTGAAAGTGACTAAAAATTTAGTTAAGTCCCCCCCCTCGACACTAACAGACCTTATGCCAATATCTGGCTCCTTAACTCTATCCGCTCAGCCCTCTTCAGTGAAGACGATTAATAACAGTCAGGCTAATGTTAACATTGCACTGCGTGTAAAGTTACATAAGCTCTAGATTTGGCTTCGCTGATTAAAAGTGAACATCAGCGCAACTCTAAGTGCACCATTCCTAAAGCCTCCTGATACCCCTTAGTTTGGAAAGCAGGTGATCACCGTGTTCTTTTTTCCATCCCCAGCACCACACCAGGGACTGAACAGGCTACCGCATAGAAAACATTGCAAGTAAGCCGATATTGGATTTGGTAAGAGAACTGAGGTTACTCTTATTCCAACTGATGCAGGCATTAATTTAGTTTATTATAGCCCATTTTATATGTCTTTATAACTGTAGTAAAAAAAAAAAAAAAAGGAGGGGGGCAGAAAAAGAACACTATGTAGCCACCCACAGTTACAATACCACATCCACATACTGAGTATAGCCATGGGAAGGTGGATAAACGCCACTAATGTCTTCCAAACTGGCCGCATAATCCTAATGTACAGTTACCGCAGGACTTTTTGGGTAACATGAAAACTGCAGAACTGAAGGATTGGTCCAGCAGTTCATTTCCATATTATAATGGCATAGTTATGCAGTAAAGTAAAAAACAGGATGCTGTAAGGAATATAGCAATATAGAACAGATTCAGAAGGAAGCATAAGATGGCATGCAGTTGGCAGCAATAACTGTAGCAGCATTTTGAAGGCCTGATAACTGCACACACTTGCAAGTGTGCTGAATGTCCTCTTTTACCTATGTCCTGCTTATGCTCTCAAGCCCCTGCTCCCGCTAACACATCCTTTGTCCATTTAGATCACCATCTTGCAGATCTGTGCCCCTCGCCTCCTTCAAGAGAGGCTTAGTGCAAGAAGACTGAGGTGAAGAAAGAAAATTCCCTTTTGAATTTATCCCTTTTGATAACGGAGAGGGAGGAAAAGGGTCAGGCTGAGGCATCTCAGGCTGAGGCATCTGTGTTTCCTGGAGGCATACAGTTGAACACAGCAGCCAACTAGAGCAGAGGGATTATAAAAAATCCCTGGTGAATAACTGGCTCACGTCAGATAGTAAATCTCAGCCAAAACACAGAGATTTTGCTTGCTGCACAATTACAGAAAACCTGCACAGTCATCCTGCAATATCAGACTCTCACTCCCTTGTCAGAACACAGAGTTACTTGTCCCAGAAAAATAATAAAAAGATGTTTGCAATAACATTTTTAATCAAACATCTCCAAGCTCTGAATTTCAGCATAACAGATCACAGTATCATCTAGTTGTTCTGCAAAGTAAGTCGCACCTTTTTGCCTGTTTTTTCTTTTTAGTATTCGTAAACTGTTTTCTTCTTCCGTCTCTTCTGTGCTCTATAAAAAAAAAAGTTTTACATCATATTGACATTAACTGTAAATCTTACCTCTTTATTAATAGAGAGAGAAAAAGCATTCCATGTTTCAGTGACTATAGCCAGTTTTCCCACACACTTAAATGTTCTAGAAAGGACTACTGTTACAATCAGTTTTTTGAAAAGGGAAGCAAAAATATCTGTTTAAGAAAAGTTCAATAACTGGGACACCACCCTTCTGTATTATTATTATTGCATTTGCCCAGTATATTCCAATAGCACAGATGTCACCAAATGACTACTGCTAAAACCCAAAACAAATGACGTTAATTCTCCAGACTAGATGTACTGCTTGAAAGGATTTGAGAGGAGAGGCAGAATGTTTTTTTTTTTTCCTTCAGACTGGATGGAGTGATTCTCTGCTGTTCTAAGTCATCCCACAGTACTACAAATTGCTCTTAAACGTTGCCACAAAACACCAATGTAAAAATGCACTGCTTACATGACGCTAAACAATTTACCCTGCAGCAACTAAACATACCTGGAGCCCTGGAATTTATTTGCAGTGTTTGCATTGCAAATTGAATACCAAGATTGCTGAGGCTGGAAAGCAGCAGAAATAGCACTTTATCCTGGAAATCTCAATTATAATACCAGAAAATTAAGTGGATTTACAGCTGAAAAATTCTTGGGGACAAACAACCTACTAATAAAAATGCTGCTGCATGAAAGCTGCAAAGAGCCTCTTTGTTCCCTCACATGACCTCCATTTAATCTCCAAGTTCTGTGAGCGGCAGAAATTTTTCCTAAAAAAGGCTGGATGCCACTTCCTCTGCAAAGGCAAAATCCTGATCCCTACCAGTCAATAGGAGTTTGCAAGCATACTTCAAGGGAGCCAACAGAACCACCTCAAACTCAAAATAAGCTCCATTTAAAAGTCTTTTAACGACTATACCTTAAAAAAAAAAAAAAAAAAAAAGAAAAAGAAAAGAATACCCCTGCATGTCGAGGGCTGTTCTATCCTGATAACTCCTGAGCCCTTGGGAATGCTATTTTCATAGACAAAGCTGTGAGAACTGCCTGATCTAGAATGAAAATATGCCACTTTACTTTGAGCGCAGGCTCACAAAAGAGTAAGTGCTTGTTTAAAAGGCCAAGTGACTCATCAAAAGCAGTTTTCATGGAAACGGTGTCAAGCCCCAGGCAAATCTGAGGGCTTTAGAACTTCAGAAGAAAAACAGCCCTCAAGGGGAAGCTCTTTCTGTTCCCGTCAAGATCACGGCCACTGGGTCAGTCTTCATTCAGAGGGCTTAGAGGTTCCTACTGCATTTGCACCACATTATCTGAGGGCAGCTTCAGCTCTGCCTGAAGCAGCTCTGAATGCAAATAGTTTTGTTTTGAAAGAATGACAAGATCAAAACAAGATATAAAGGGCAACTGTAAAGGAAAAGCTCTTGCACTCCTCTTGCGTGAGGAAGCCCCTTTCTGAACATGCTGTCAAAATACTTCACTAAAGTCCTTTGTTGTAGCGGACGTGCGTTTCTGTTGCAGAACTACTTCAATTTGGAATTACCATTTGTTCCCTGATGGCGGAGGATTTCATTGCATGCCTTTTCCTCTTATTAGCTGCATCTAGAAATCAAAAGACAATAAAGTAACAATGTGTCAACCTCAAACTGACAATTTCACACAATTCAAATTCTCTCTTTTCCCCCAAAAGCTACAAAAGTCAGGCACCTTGTGTAATAACGCTTTGGGTGGCAATGCATGAGTGTATTTGAGCTTCCCCAAAACCTGACATTTCAATTGAACTTATAGTATTCCTATGCAAGGAGAAGTACAAGCTTGAACCACTAAGAAGCGCAAACCACTGCAGCATTAGGATACTATCTCAGTCTTTTAATCCCAAAATAAAGCAAAACCCAGATTTTAACATATAGTTTTTGATTGTGGCAGAGAACTGATTTCCCCTGGCAGCAGCACTAACTACGTTATACATAGTAAGAACCTCAGAAAAGTCGGAAATTTATGAGAGATTACTGGTTTTTTTCAGTTGCTCCTTGTTTATTTTAAAACACTCTCAAAATTAAGGCTACACAGAGCAGTATTCTAGTGCCAAATGCATACAAATGACACTAGGTTTTCTTCAATGTACTGACCTCCCAGAAAACCCCAAGAACTTGTAAGCTTTTTATTATTTAAGCTTTTAGTGACATGATCTTAGATCCTGGTGAAATCATCTGCTCTCTGTCCTTTCTATCAGTATGCACGGGTCTCTCTCCAATATCGTAACTGACAGCTGCTGAAAACAACTACAGCATCACAAACAGAGAAGGGTAGCTGCCAAGAAAGACATGGCAGGAGAAGGTGAAAGCTAGAGAAAGAGTACAACCACCCACCATATGATGAGGGTTTTAAAGGCAGAGGGGCCATATGCCCCTCCCGTTTTACTGTGTGACCTTTGGGTAGCATGTGGTAAGGTTTTTGCTATTAAAAGTTATCCTATTGATAGGAATGAGCAGTTACTGCTCATACAGGAGGGCCAGTTTGTTAAAACAATGTCTTATGCGGGGTACAGTCAGTATTGTACACCTGCATTTGTCATGGCCTGAAAGGAAATCACAGGCTCTCACTGTGACTGGAAGAAAGCTGGGTGGTCTGCCTTGAAGCAGGTTAGGAAACACTGGTGTAGGTACAAAAGGCGTTGCTTGCTAACAGGACGGTAGCACGTCTGTTTTAGAGTATCAGAGGGATGTCTTGTAAAACAAGAGGAACACAATCCAAACAGTAACCCAACTTTTCTTGCTCCCCACAGAGAGTGCTTTCAAACTTCTATGTTCAATAGCTTGGATTTTGGGCACATCCAATGTTTCCAGTTAAGCAGGGGTTGGAGTCCGTTTCCAAATCTACACTGCTCTCCCATCCCTGCTGCACAGAGCTGCAAGATCTCTTGGAACCTAAGGCAAGCTATCCCCTTCCAGTCACAAAGCAGAGGCCTAACATTTCAACACAGGAATGTTCCCTGGACCAAGAACAAAGGGACGGTCCTTAACCTCCTGTTTTTTCCAGGTTATGGGCGAAAAGAACCAGTCCTTTTATACCTGTTCCTGTTCCCACAGCCCAATCTCAGTTCAGCCTGCCCCAGAGGAGCTGGTGAGCTACTATACTTGAGTTAGATCCTGAAAGTCAAAACTCTACCTTAGAGCCAGAGTGCCAGTACCCCATCCCTATATTACTCTCTGCACACCACTTCTAACATTAGTGCTTGCAGTCTGATTGAGCTTAACTTCCATTTGGAAGCGAAGGCCATTTTACGACCTATTCCGTTTTCAGTAGGAGTGTGTGCACTAGCTTAATGAAGTCACACGTTTTGTAAGTTCAGTAAGATTCCCAATTACCTCTGAATCAGCAAGCCTCAGGACAGCCAAATTAAATTACTTTTCTGTAGCAGAGGAAATAATCCTTAAATGTGGGTTGTATAACCCTTTTGTTACACTAAAAAAGCAATTTTGGGATCCTTCAGAATGAAAGGCTCTATTTAAAAAGTACTGCAGTGAATATGGAAGATGCAAACGTGAGTGGTTTAACACAACTACAGATTAAAATCCCAAGGCGACCACTCCTGTAACAGCTAACCAAATGCAAACTTGTGCATCATTCGCTAGCATGACTCTCATAGCTCACATGGAGTTTACAAGCTGCACGGGCCTACCTGCCTATACATAGGCATGTAATAATAATTCCATGAAGGATCTGGTCTACAGTGTTTCAAGTCAGTTTTGAGGGGGATTCAGGGATGACCAAATATAAGCATTTCCTACCTCAAAATCTTTTAGATTTCTCTGCACATGCATGGATCTCAACCAAACCACTCTCGCTAGTTTAGAAATCCACCACACTATATAAAGGTGGAATAACATTAATTTTGCTCAAATGAGTTACTGACCGTAGGATGCAAACTTTTAAAACACATGAAATCAATGAAGCCATTAAAGAAACTCACCATAGTGATTGGTCCTATTGCCTGGGTCATGTTTTGGGCAGAACACTCTAAAATTTAAGTTCCATTTTAAGAAAAAGAGAAAAAGTATTAATAAATATTACACAGTAAACACTGTTACGCTGACTGATTTTTAACAGATATTTTCCCCTCTTTTCATTGAACGTAAATTGAAAGAATTAAAAAAAAAATCATGATTTTTGTTCAGCATTACCCACCTAGAAAAGCACCTACAGCATCTGCTGTAAAGTCACATACATGCACAAGCTTGTATTTGTATTTTTAGAGCCTCAATAGACTCTGAATGCTGTCAAGTTTTGAATTATCTGCTCTTTTACCCCACTCCACTTGGACCAGCTCACTGCTTACATCTTGATGTCAGAGTCATTTCATATAGTGTGGTGATCAAACACTGGCAGAAGCTATTGAAATAACTTATTAAAATGAGATTAATGTTATCAAGATGAAAAAATCAAAGTACTGGCATTGCTTGATTGCGGCTGTTGTTGTTCTGCCTCCTTGCCATGCCCAGAACCTATCCGAATGCATCTGCCTGCCAATCTGCTTGAACTTGTGAGCCCAGCAGAATGAGCTGGCATAGCCACACTGCATTGCACTGCATTGCATAATATCATTTATTCGCTCAGAGATCTCTGTGCCCCTTCCCATGGCCCAGTGCTGAGGCGGTCCCCAAATCCCTGGGAAGTGGGACATCCCTCTTGGAGGCCCAGTAGCTGAAAGCTGCTCAATCCATTCATTCCTTGAAGAGTTTAGTAATGTGTGAGATGGGAACATTTTCTCCATGATCATTAGGAGCGCAATGTGAATTCCTTGGAAAAGACAAAAAGCAACAGCTACAGCCAGAAAAATTCCTTATCTTCTGGATACAATAATGTGTAGACAGAAATGTCTTTCCAGGAAACATAAAACAGCTTCTATAATATGCCTTTCTTACAGAAAGATCCCAAATCACTTTTTAAACAATTTTGCCTTGTCAGACTGTGGCTTAGCTGATCTCTTCATTACAAATCTCTGTTTGCCAAGACTAACACTCAAGTGTTTGAAAGAATTACTTTTCAAAGGGAATTGCATTTACATGGGCATTTGCTAATTGTTTTCATTCTTTTCTTAAAAAGTAAAAATAACAAAATAGAAATGCTGGCCTTAGAAACACAGACTGTTTCCTTTACAAACCAACTTCTGCACATGAAATTCATTTTGATGCACAAAACCCAGATTTACACATGCCCAACAATTCAATGAGAAAGCTAAGTACTTGGAGAAGCCTTATTTACATCCCGGAATTTCTAATGCTGCCCTTTAGGTTTCCCACCTTCCAATAATTCTACTCTTTCTTAGTTAAAAGCGACTTTCCTATGTATGGGAACAGCTTATAATCCCCACCCACAATACCTTGGGTGGCCACTTTATTTGGAAGCATTCTCTACCATCATTTCTGTAAGAGAAAACTCCAAATCACGCTTACTTCCCAGACGTACTCTTACTAGTCACTTGCACAACACTGTATGACTTCTCTTTTTAATTTTGTTTTACTTGCTTTGGTAATCACTGCTCACCGTCGCCATGATGGCGACTTAGAATAAGAACACCAGCTCTCTCCCCATTGAAGGAATTATCTCTTCCGACACGCTTCTCAATAGATTACATTTCTCCATGAAAAAGCGCAGGGGGCCGTAAATCCTCGCCCACTGTTTTTCAAGCCTTGGTTCTCTTCTCTCCAATAATCTCATGCTAACTACAAGTCTGGTGCTTTTTCATTTTTTTTTTCATCAATATAGTCCAAAACTGTTTGGGCCTAAACTGCTCAAATTTGCTTCAGTCTTTCTTCAGTCCAGTCATTTTTCACCTCTTCAACAGAGACTGCTATAGTCTAGTTCCCTATATTCCTACATAGTACAAGTAACTAGCCTCATGCAATGGCGTAATAAAGGCCATTTTAAAGTTCAGGTTCCCTCTTTGAAATCTCCAAGGTCACCTGCTCAGAAAACCAAGAAAGCAATCCATATATTGAATAATCTCTTTATCAGTTTGTGTATAGACTTATCAGTCCCATTTGTTTTTCAGCATCCTGAGGAATTCAGTCTTTTTCTGTCCAAGGCATCATTTCTGAAGCCAGAAATGATATGACGACAGCCACTTATTCTGTAATCCCAGAAAGTTTCTACACTTCCAGCTACACTCTTATGAGCTTTCCAGACTCCTAAAGACTTTGTAAAACATAATAAACTGAACATATCATCTTCCCTATACGATTGGGCCTACACACTTGCAGAAAGATGGACTTATTTTGGATCGAGAACCCTATGGAAGCAGCCGGGAAGAGTATTTTGGCATCAAGTCCTTGGCACCATCTAATTGCACTACTCCACTTCTTCCTTAAACAAGTAACAATTATACACTTTTCCAGATCAATGACAGACTGAGATGGCCTGTGATTTCTCTGACCTTGCACAGAAATGGGCATTCTGGGTTCTATGAATCTCAGCCCTTATTGAAACAGCAGCATCTCCAAAAGCTCCCTGCATTCCCACTTCTCGACTCCTTCATCTGCAGGGTATCACTCTTTCAAAAAAAAACATCAGGGCTAGCATGGTCAGGACATTTTCCTAAATTCTTAAACTTTTTTAAAGCCTGTTCAACAACATTAATGCTAGCAATGTATGGGAAATATAAGGTGGTCTTAAATGGAAATACAAAGTTCTCTGCTAGCATATAGAGGGGAAAAAAAATCACCAAAATTCACCTACTGTGAACAGATCTAGAAGTGCTGCAGTCTGGTCTGTGCTGAGACCATGTTTACTGAAGCTACTGAACCAAGAGAAACTGAGAATTAGGGTCAAGCCAAAAAAAATTTTTGTCCTTGAAGGTTAAACAGCCAGTAAGGAGAGATTTCCTCAGTTTTAGCCTAGTGATCTTTCAAGTGACTTTCAGGTTCAGATACTGAATAGCTTCCTTCCCACTGCTGCGTTAAAGGAAAATGTTCTCCCCATCGCTTGTGAACAGAGGACTTCAGGCAGCGGTGACTGAGAAGGACTTTAAGGGAGAACATCTTCCTTTTTTACGAAACTTAAAAAAATAATTTAACTCTCTTTTCCTGACAACATCACCAAAGCCTTGACAGAAATTAGATAGAAAATTTTTGGTTAAATACCGGTAAATTCCATTCACTTCATCTGTTTCTATGGCTGCATCATCACAGAGTGCACAGAAGTAGTGATAACTTCTGCGACAGGCTCTTTCCTCGCATCCCACAGTGGCTCCTTTCTTGCGACAGAAGTTGCACATCTACAACAAAACGAGGTTTAGCAGGTAGACACTACAGATAGCTACTAAAATTCTCAGCCTTATGAGGCAAACACTGTCATCTGCAGGAAAACTTTAACTGCGTAACTCATCAGGCAAGTTCACTCTTGCAAACCTCTACCGTGCCCATTTTTCAGCCACCTTTCTGCTATTTTGCCTCAATTTCTTATCGATTATTTTGTAGTAAAATGATGCAGAGAGCCATGTGAGGCACTGGGCATCTTTCCCCCTTCCTCTAAGTCTTGCCCAAATTATTTCAATACACAGGGGCTATATTTATGTTTTCTAGGCTAACTTTGTAAAGGAAAAAGATCCATTCTGGAGACAAGGGAGAAGGGCAACTGAGGACAAAGCCAATAGAAATCTCTCACATAAATAACCTTCCTTCTGCCAAAATAGAACATGTTTTCCTTGACATTTCTGGACTGCATGATTTTGTTTCAGACACTCTCTCAGTCCTCTACCAAAATCTCTTCGGAAAGTATCTTAATCTTTTCTCTTAGGAAAAAGAAGGCCAAAAAAGCCAAATTCTAACAAAAAAGTACTAAACTTCACTAAATAGAATGTCAAACCAATGTTTCTAATTCTAAATCTGTAATTTCCTTAATCTTAGCAGATGAGAAGAACAAGTACTTTTCTGCATTTTTTTTTCAAGCATAAAACAGGCCACAACCTTCAGTGTTGTACCCTACTGCTGTTTAGTACTATGTGTCAAGATTAAGTGCAGATTCACAAAGAAAATGCCTTACCAGCCGCTTTCCTCTTCTGAGTTCATTCAACACTGATGCCACGTCAAACCTTATATCTAGATTATCTGGGTTATACTCTTCAGATTCCACAAATCCTGAGGAAAATAACTAAAGACAAAAGAGAAAATTTCAAGAATTAATACAGGCACTCATTCACCTACATATTCCAGAAAGAAAGAGAGCTTTTTGAGACCAATCTGTTCTTCTTGTACTTGCCCTACCTAAGAAAGGCTGATTCTCTCTGTGGTTTTAAGAGGTTTCACCTATGCCGAGCAGGAAGCTGTGCTTAAACCTTTTTCAGTCAAATGAAGCCCCTCTGTCTACGTAGAAGGTTTCACAAGACCTAAAGGTGAACTACTAAAAGATCCCAAAGTGAGAAGCTGAACTTAGTAAGAAATGTGAATGCAGGAAGCCTAGAAGGCCAGGCTGCCCCAAGCAAGGAGAAGGTGGTCTTAGGCTGAAAGACCTCCACACCTTGAACATCTTGCTACCTTGCCCAAGCTACTCAGGCTTTACAGCTGGATGCAGTGTCTCTGCAACTAAAACTTCAGTACAGTCAGAGGCTGACAACTGTTCACTGCACAAGAAACGGACTGTACAAAGTCCACGAAAAAACTCACAAACATGGATACAGGCACATTCTTGTCCTTTTAATTCCTCCAGAAGTACCGAACCACGACTAGAAGTGAGGACGGGGAAAATTATCAGTGACTTTTTTGTAATCATTTTATATGGCTAATTTCAAACTTAAATGAGCTACCCTTATGTTGACTGGCAAGCACAGTCTGTCCATTGTGGAGGACACAGGTAACTACAAAAAGGCAAACTCTGCACTCCTCCCAAGATAGAGGAATCAGTAAAGCTAACATCCATCTAATACATCCAAATAACACTCTAAAAATAGGCACCAGACATTTCTGAAACGTTTATTCTGTTTAATAAAAAAAAAAAAAAAGGAGGAGGAAAAGAAAGTTGTAGACATAAAACCAGTGAGATTATAAGAGGGCAGGAAGGACGAAAGCCAGAAAGCCATTACAGCAGCAGACACATCTCCTGCTCTAAGCGACCCTCACTGAACGGAGATCTGTGACCAAGTCTGCATAACAAGAATCAACTCCACTAAAATCACAGAATAAGAGCAGGCATTTTGCCAGCAAAAAGAGTGTGTTAAGAACTTCAGATATTTTTATATAACCAACTTCTGATTTTTTATTCCTTATCTTAAGCAAGACAGACAGACAGACATTTCCGCCTTGATATATCAAGTGATGTATACTTCCTTCCACAAAGGTTTAAGCAAATACACAACTTTCTGTGGTCTAAGAAGCCTCACCCAACTCAGTGTCTCAAGCAGATCTATTCCTACTGCTAAACTGCACGTGTGTGCAGAACTGCAGATCAAGAACAGAGACAACCTACCCTGACACATGAAAACATCACAAATCAATGTGTCAAGCTGTGCAAAGACACCCTCCCCTTCTCCAAAATTCTGATTGAGCCCAGGTGATCATTTTTTCCACAGCTTTCCAATCTAACATTAGCTTCACGTTTTGAGTAATCCAGCTTTTAATTCTGAAACCCTTCTTCTACTAGGTTGTTTTTTAAGCTTAAGTTTCCTAAAGGACATTAAGCCTATCTAACAGGCTACTCATCTGCACCATGTCAATCCCCCACCCTCACCCAGTAACATCCGGCCTTGCTGGCTTACTTAACCACATTTGACAGAGCAGGAGGAATTTTGCAGATAAGCAAGTTTCTGCCAGTTTCATGAAAGTTATTGTCCTTCATGCCCATGTAAGCTGGGCTTCTATGTCTGGATTCTAATTAGGTAAGACGCAACAGCCGTTTCGCACTGCTTAAGCAAACATGCAAGGAGTGAGATGGCAATGAAACAGGCCCCGCTTTCACAAATTTGGTGCGTCCTACTCCTAGTCCAGCTTTACTCGCGTTCTGCCTCTTGGTTACCTAACACTGGAACTATCTTCAATGTTACTTATTTCTGAAGGCCAACTACCTGCAGTTAATCTGCAGAAGATCAGGAAATTGAAGATCATTTCCTGTTTCAAATGAAACACGACGTAATCCATTGTACAGGAAAAAAAATAGAAACTCAGTGGAATCTTCCCCTTTAGGCCTTCTCCATTCCCCTTCATGTACTGACCAACTAAAACCACTCACCAAACAATCCTGATGAGCTGCAATATTTTGCTCTTTGGCAATGTACATTATAGAGCCAGCCTCCCCCTCCGAACAAAACGCACATGTTCTTCTCACCATCTTCGCCATTATCAGGAAATCACCTGGAGCAAGAAGACTGGGACAAAACACAAAGCAACTGATGCAACTAACATACACCACGTAGGATGAACAGTGGAAAGCAGAGCTCACTAGCCCTTTGCCCACTAACTGCTGCTTCACCTGCATCCCCTGAAGCTTAGTTCTTTGCCGGTCCAGCAACAACTCTCAGGAGAACATGCACAGCCTGCTGGGACAGTAGTCGGATGGAAACAGGCTCCCAGGAGCTCTAGCAGTTAGAGCAGAAGAATAAAAAATGGTGTATTTCCCCTTGACGGGTCACTAAAAAATCATGGGAAAAGGGACAGGGCTCATACAGAAATTTTCAAGCTTGCTCAGCAATGCATGCTCCAATGACAGACCCAAGGGTGGGCCAGCAAGCCATGCCCTAGGTGTGAAGCCCCTTTTATTTGGGGGATGTTAGCAGTGCCTGTCTTGAGCTAGTTCTGCCACATGTAGGCCTGCAGTGAACCGAGGAGGGAAAAGTAGCTCTCCCTAAACTTCTCCAGTGTCTTCCAGGAAGGGACAGAAAACAAGGAAGAAACAACAATTCCTTACTGTGAAAAGGACACAGCAAAGCAGTGTAAGAGGCTTGCAAACAGAAAGAGGAGAAGAGAGAGACAGAAATGAGAGATGTGAATGTTTTCTGCCACTGAGGTGTACTGCTAACCGGAGCAACACCATTTTCTCTGTACCCTGGAATTTGCTCCATGGACGTCTGTTCTCTTTTTCTGGCCATACCCACTCAAGTCTTCATTGTCCTCCTTCACCCAGTCTCTCTTTTCTTTTTCCCTTTTTTCCCCGGAAGCTGCAAGAAGTTTAAGGCCACCTACTTACTTCACAAAACAATCTAAATGTTTCTGGAAGACTCTTTATCCCCACTAGTCATTTAGGGCACCACTTAACATATTAGTAACAAAAGTTTTACTTTGTCTCTGGATTCTGTGCAGGTCCAACGCAGAATCGTCAAAAATGTCCTACTCCTACTAGGTGTGATATTCCAAAATGCCCTTTGCTGACGTCACCTCTGAGAGACCAAAAGCCTGCAGGATAAGGGTAAGAAATGTCCACTTTTACTTTTAAGAAACAAGAAGATTCAAAATTTAGTTCTTCTAGTGATAGAGCGGCAGCAAGGTTCAACTGCAACACAGCCAGGAAATCCCATATCCCAGAAATTTTTGTACACCTTTCTGTGGCTTTCAACAGCCATCTCTCATCTTACTCCCATAAGGGTAAGACTGGATGGTCACCCAGCTCAAAAAAAGTTATCTGCAGCAGACTAATACCTGGAATTGATGCAGATACATAGGCCCTGCTCAGGCCCAGTCAGAGGATCTGGCTCCAGTGGCTCTGGGAATTTGGCGAGGAAGAGGCTAAAGGTGGATCTACAGTCCTTGGTGCTCTTACAGGCTCTGAGGAGAAATCCTGGCCCTGAAAGATAACAGAGGACACTCAGTCAGGGTCAATGTCGGGTTTACTCTGGCACCTTCGCCCTGCAAGAATCCCGATGGGGTGGAAGGACAGCTCTTGGCCATTCCTCTCCCTTGCCTCGCTCCACAAAGGGAGCATTCCCGTACACCCTCCCAAGGATGAGAGAGCAGGGATAGGATACTGAGCTAAGGGGACATCCAGGCCAGCTGCTCTTATAGTGAGGGAAGGGGTAAAGGCAGAGTTTGAGTTGCACAGTTTAATTACATTTTGCCCAAAGAGCCCTTTGCTAGTCCTAAAACCTGCCACTCACAGGTTTCATTTGACACCCTTGTTCTTCTGTTTGAATACGCAAAAAATAATTGTTCCTTCCTCAACTACTCCAGTAACACCCATCTCTGCTATTTCCCCTCCAGTAGTCTCTTTTTCACAGAATCACAGAATCGTTTAGGTTGGATGGGACCTCTGGAGATCATCTAGTCCAACCTCCCTGTTCAAGCAGGGTCACCTAGAGCATATTGCCCAGGATCACATCCAGACGGGTTTTGAATATCTCCAGCGAAGGAGACTCCACCACCTCTCTGGGCAACCTGTTCCAATGCTCTGTCACCCTCACAGTGAAGAAGTTTTTTCTCAGGTTTTTCAAGTTGAAGAAGCTGAAACTATCTAGTTGGTTCTTCTGCAGAAACAGCTCCACATCTCTGATTATCCTTGTCACCTCTCGATATCTAAGATCAGCAAACAACCTTCAAAATGGTGGGGTACCACAGACTATGCAAGGGTACAACGGCACTCTGTATTTTTCTCCTTTTTCTTAATAATTCCTAATACTTCAATCGTATTTTGGACTGCTTCTGAGCATGGAGCCAACATTTTTGTAGAACTACCCCAGATCTGTTTGCTAAGTGGTATCAGGCAGTTCGGAGGCCATCGGTGCTATGATTGTTGCTCTGCTGCATGCCTCGCTTTCCACTTAACAAAGCTGGATTTTCATCTCCTATTCTACAGTCAAATCACTCACTGCTATAAAGTCCTTCTGCAACTCTTCACAAGTGGCTTCTGCTATTATTGCCACTGAAGTGGACTGCAGGGACCAGAAGTGACTAATTAATCTATAAAAGTTGGAAGTCTGTCACAGAACAGTTGAGGTTGCAAAGGACCCCTGGAGATCGTCTAGCCCAATCCCCCCTGCTCAAAGCAGGGTCAGCTAGAGCAGGCTTCCACCAGCCCTCCACTAAGGACACAGCAGCTGAAGCTGTGAAACAGAAGATAGAAGAGAAGCAGTCAAGAGAAAGAAGCAATCACGTGCCTCTGGCTGCTGCTCTGAGCTGTTTCCTGTAAACACACACTGACAAGTACAGCTTTTTTCAATAGTGACAAAATGGAGAAAATCAGTAAACAAAACAGAAAGCAAAAAAACAGATGGCAATATTGTATTATCCTGGGCACTTGGCAACAACGTTCATATAGATCTTCCTGAAACATTACTGGTTTATCTAATGATTTCTTTTCCTGAGTCAATTCTGAAGCATCCCTGCGAGTAAATATAATTTATAAATTTTATGCAGAAGGAAACCGAGGCACGGAAGGTCACACAACATTGTCTCTAGTGGGGTAAGGAAAAGCATCCAAGTCTCCTGACTTCCAGCGTACTACCTAAACCCAGTGCCATAGCTTCTGTTCTGCTTTTCTCTTAAGCTCAACGTAGGTCAGGAATCAATCTACTGAAGGAGAAAGAAGGAAACTGCAGGCCTACTGCTCCACACTCGCTGCTTCCTCCGTCCGCACTTTGTGGGGAAAGGAGCGCAGCGCTCGTCATACACTAGCTAGGCACAACCTGCCCAAGCACCTCCCCACCCACCCCCAAGTCATTAGCAGCATAAACACATCCAGGCCTTTGCAAGACTTTCAGAATGAACAAAAGCAAAACAAAATCCATCTTTGTGACCAGCTTTCACTTTCTATAAGGGAGATATTTTAAAAGATCTAAAGCATGAAAAAAAAAATATTTTCTATAGAAAGGCATATGTCGCCACATCTGATCCAAGTGATGGAGATGACTGGAGATTCCTCATCAGAGCCAAACACTCAGCTACTTGCGAGGTGTTTGTACCGCGAGTCTCAGAGGTCCTCAATTGCTCCTTAAAGCACCGAACAAGGGGGGAACGTTCATACAGTAACACCCCGTCCTCTACTGACACGCTGCTTCCAGCATTTTAAACATAGTTGTGCCATTTTTAAGGAGTTACCAGTTCCAACGTTGCTTTGTGTGCTAAGCCCCCACAGAAGAGGACTTGAGGAAAACGGGTGCTTGCAGACGAAGTCACCACTGAGCAAGAAAGCAAAGGTAACGTCATCTGCTGGAGGAGGGGAGGTCCATTCCTCTCAGTTTAAGTTTCGGTTCCTTTTGAGCGTAAAGCTAACGTCATCTGTTATGGGAGGAGGTTGATTTCTCTCAGTTTACATTTGGGTTCCTCACGCCCTGAAACCGGGTGCGCTCAGGGAGGAGAGCACCGGCCAACACAGCCGCGGAGGGGAAAGGGCTGTTTTGCTCTCCCTCCCCCCACTCCCCCCAACTGCACGTGCTTTCGCTGCCCCATTCAGCGCACCGGACTCGCAGCCGCTG